GAGCTGCGTCTGTATTAAAAATCTGCATTGAAAGCAGCCAGACAAGGAAAGCAAGGAGGCAATCAAAGAAACGTTTGTAGACTAGCTGGGAGAGAATAAACAAAGCATGGAGCTTTGGGGGGAGGCAGAGCTCTCGCTGAAAGTGAGCTTTGGGAGCGCAGTCAAGAAAACTTCTTGTCATTTAATCCCCCTGTGCTGGGCAAAACAAAGCTCTTTCTGCAGGCTTTGTCAATAAACAGGACTGTATTCAAGATGCGTATGATTCTGTCACCAGTTTTTCCTTCAAACCGAAAGAATTCAGAAGTCCGTTGACAAACTATTTGGGTCAAAAGGGGGGAGCAATGTTTAAGTGATACACATGTTACAACAAGCTCATGATTTGGCCATGTGTCTCACTTTATACTCTGTGACCTGTCAACGTCAGTTGGTACCTGCAGAAGTTGTGGCACGATGCTTGCAGATCGCGAAACCCGGTTGGGGCTCCCCTGAACGAAAAAGGGCCTCTATCTGGGCAGGGACCTGCCTTCAAGCCAGGCACGTTGTAAGGCTTGGAGCCCGTTTTGTCTTCTGAGCCCCTTCTTTGCCTCCAGTTTCTAAAGCAATGGGCAGCTTAGGATTGCCAGATTTTAAAGTATGGGGATCGCCACATCTGTCCCGAAACCCTGAAGCCTCTCTGTACTTCTGCTGTTGCTCTTCCCTTCGATGTCCCTGGCAGTGGCACCCTGCCCCAAGCGGCCTCCACCCCATCACCCCTGGTCCTCACCAGCTCCATAGGTAGCTGCTTTGGCCACACGTGTTTTAAGGCATCAAAGGAAACCATGAGGGAGGCGGAAGCGCAGGTGGCCACGGGATTTCCCATCCTTCATACTCAGTTCCCGTGTGGCATTATAAAAGCATACAGTAAATATGGGGGAAGAGTGTATCTTACATCTTTTGAAGATGAGATGCCTGGACCAGGTCCTGTGGTTGATGGTATGCCTGGCAATCCTGCTGACCATACAGAGTCCAGCCCTTGTCTTGGCCATGTGGTTGGTCCCTGCGTAGTCTGCTGCCTGGTGGGGAGGGTCGAGAATATGTTACCGTCACTATTTTCACACTTAAGTTGAAGCTGATTTGATTTTCCTTGGCCTACCCTCTTTTTTGAGTGTGCTGCCTGCTTACAGTTTTCATGTTCTTGTTAGCTTCTCAGTTGTCCTCCCATAGATGACCTTCCCAAGATTTTTAAGTAACAGATTGCATATTTAGAGCCCCAGTGCAAGGATGATTTTATTTTTTTAGAGCGGTGGGGACAGCGTCTGGATGATGGGGTCTCTCCCGGCGCAGCGCAGCAGGCTCAGGCCTGGGGAAGCGCCTGTGAGGTTTCAGGGTGCTCTTTGCTGTGGTCCCTTTGCAGACTGGATCAGCTCTGGGGTGGTTCCTCTTCTTTGGAAGAGCCTTTTGGTCTGTCTGCCTTGCCTTCTGTCCCCAGGGAGGGAGTGGAGCCAGAATCAGTCCTCAGATCTAAACAAGCTATTCCATGTTGTTCCTGTACCAAGGAGGTTTGATCCAAACCCTCCCAATCGATCGGTCTCGTTTTCAGTCTGTTTGGAATATTTACCTCACCCAACCCCGCCTATGTTTATATGCGCCAAATACCGAATTTTTACCTTTTGTTTTTTAATCCCACTGAATGACAGCGGCTGGGAAGAAAGAAACTCAGAACCCAGCGGGTTTTTAAAGCATTTGCAGCAGAGCTGGATTTGCTCAAATATAAAAGAGGTGGGGAAAGTTACTGGAATAAAGCAAACTTCAGAAGAAAGAATGACTTTTTGGTCCAAGCGGTGCACCTAAGGGAAACATAAAACAGTCTCGGGCAGCAGAATTTTTCATTTTAGATGTCTGAATACATTTCCCTCCTATAGCATATATAGCAACGAGTAAGTAAATTGAATCTTTGGGTGATTATGGGTATAAAAAACCCCAATGTTACTTAAGTCTTTTTAAAATGCACATATAATTAGGGAGGTAGTTGTATAATCTGTTTAATATTAGCTATTCAAATGTTCACAAACACAGTATGTTTTAAAACATACCTTTTTAGGAAGCCGCAGCCTATTAGTGTAATGATAATGTGAATGGTTATGTTTATTAATATTTTATAACTGATGTTTGTCTTCAGTAGCATAGTAATAATTCATTTTAAATATCATTGAATAGTCAGCTTTGACATAAAGTGGAACTTAATGTTGTTTTATGCAAACTTCTCCGAAATTAACCTTTGAATAAACAGATTTGAAACGACATGTATTTTCAGCCCATGTTTTGGGAAAATACATGGAAAAGCGTGTGTGATGTGACAGCTCGGAAGTTGGAAACAGAATTGAATATTCCCACTTGTTGTTACTCTTGCCCTTTCTCCCAGAGTGCTGCCGGAGCCAGAGTGCGCTGCAGCTGTAAGGAAGACACCGAAAACGGAGACCTCTTTTTAAGGTCACGTTCCCCATTTTTTATTGCGGGGCTTGTGTTTTGCAGGAAGTGAAGGGTTCACAAACGGGTAGCGTTGCTGAAGCGATGCTCGCCGGCCTCTGGTGCCGGCACCCCGTGCCTCCGTGGGCTAGCCATGCCTCTGTGGGCTAGCCGTGCGGCCGAGGGCTAGCCGGCCATGCGGGCCTGAGCCAAAGCACGCCGGGAGACGTGTTTTTCAGCAGGCATGCTGGGACTGGGAGTTTTTCCGCTCTACTTCCCGTCTGCCATGGCCTTGTGTTTCGAGGCAGGACCCAGGTGCCAAACTTCCAGCATGGGCAAGCTCCTCCATCCCCAGAAGGAAAGCAAGTCGTAATGCTGCCTGCTCCTGCCTGCTCCTGCCTGCTCCTGCCTGCTCTGCCTGCTCTGCAGCCCGGCCTTCCCCATCAGCCCCTAACCCTTGCACTGGGGGAGGACTGCCAGGGGGTCTCCGTGCGTGGCGTTCGGGGGGTTTGCTCGGGGTAGCTGCGGTGGGAGGCAGCAGTGTATTACAAGCAGCCTCGGAGGCCCAGCTTTGAGCTGTTCCTGTTACAGCATGCATTGAAATGCACGCTCCTTCCCTATGCCTGCATATTCTTATGCGTCTGAATTCAGTTGTGTGGGGTTAATAGCATCTTTGATTGCTAGACATTATTTTTAAAACCTCTTAAAGAGGTCACAGCATGGATAACTGTTTCTTGACTGGAAATTAGCTTTTTAAACTACTTTATTATTTCATTATTTTAGTAAGACAATTACAGTTGTCACTTTTGCATGCTGGTTTTGATTTGTGATGTGCATGAGGTAATTTTGTCGCATTAAAAAGTTATTAAAATCTGGTTTAGAAAGCAGTTAATAGGTCACCTACTGCTCATAGCTCTGTAGAAGTTTTGTGTGTGCTTATTTCTGCACGAATATAATGCAGCAACATCTCTCTGAAAAGGAGATACCTTTTTTATTTAACATAGCAAAGTTATTTTGAAATTTCTGACTTCCTTGAAGGTCTGAATTGTGCCATTACGTAGGTTTTTTAGGCATTTAAAATCAATAATTTTATTTTTGAGGACTCAGGCAGAACTGTAGTACAAATCTGCTATTATTTGAGTACATCGCTTCTTAACTACACCAGTAAAAAATGAGCTGGATGGTTATGATTAATCTATTTAATTAATTAATTTAAATAAAATATAACATTAATATTTTAAAAATGAGTTAATGATGGTTAGCACTTGACCAAACGATGATAGGCTGTGTGGGCCTGGAGCAACTCCAGTACCAGCAGCAGAATGAGGTCTTTTGGAGCTGGGTCTAGGCATGCCCCTGAGCAGCTATGTCCACGACTGTAGGTGGTGAGCCTGGTTTGTGCCTTTTGCTGCGTTCCTGGTGAAGGGAACATGATCCCTGTGCTAAAGCTGGTTTTTGTCACTAGAACAATCCATGGGGAGTATTGTTGGCTTTCTGTAAATTAGAGCACTCCTGAAGTCGCTGCTGTGGGTTCAATAGCACCTGCAGGCTGGGGAATCTGGGAAGGTGCAGAAGTACAATAAAGGTCCTGCCCTCCTTCTGTAGGTAGCAAACCAGACATCCAGGCAAGCAAGACACAGTACTTCTGTTTTTACTACATATTGCTCTTTCTTCACGGTGGACAAACGGATGAAAGTAAATAGGTGAGGCTAATGGGTCAGGTAGGTAGTTAGAATGTCACAGTAGTTTGTTAATAAAATGCCTGAAGATGCACAGAAGGTCTTGTCAACAGTGAGTAAAAAATAATTGTGTCAGAAAACTGAAGTGTATGTTTCAAGGAGATCCTGTTGCAAAAGTTTCATGCTCTCATTTTCTCTGAATCCACTTTTTTGTAAAAATCAGTAGACAGATGGGACTGTGGTGCCAGCAGAGGTATTAAAGTGCTTCTTTATTTGTGAAACCTTTTCTGAGTAGTCCTAGAATATGAATTATTTCAATTTAGTCCTCTTGGTAGACTCTTGCACTCCAGTATAAATTTTCAGAGCACGGTAAGAATTTGTAGCATCGTTTGCAATGTTGGTGATATAAAATGAAGAGGAAAAGGCTTCCCTAGAGCAACAGTGATGCTAAGAGCAGCCTGTGTCCTGCAAAACTGTAAGCCAAGCGTCTCAGAAAAATACAGGGGTTGTATTTCAGAGTACCAGCTTCTTCCTCACTTTTCGGATAGAAAATGTTTATAATACTTACATGTAAGTATATTGTGGGAAGGACATACAGGGGACATAAAGCACTGCACCCATGTCTTACATAGTACGTACATGGGCGAGTAATTTGTTGCAAGTGTATTATAGTCCCATTGACTAACCTGTCACAAGGTCAGCTCGATGTTACTAATGTCCTCCTGCCAAAGTTATATCCTCTTGTGGTAGTGGGTATAGTTTTGCACATACTTCTGGACGTTTCATACATTCTTTGTATAGAATTCTGCACCTCTAATATAGATTTGTCTTCTCTTGGCAACATTTTTCTTCCCCCAGCAAGGCATGAAATGGTTGGGTTTTTCCAGTGAGACGTACAGCAAAATGAAGCTGTTGCCTTTAAAGCTGCATCTACAGTAGCTTTTCCACAGCAGAAATAAACTGTTTAAGGAGGTGAGGGCGGAGACCTTTTCCAACCCTCAGTCAGTACAATGGTGCTGATATGAGTCTCTGGTTTAAACCAGGTAAACCAGGAGTTTTGTCCATGACAGTTGCATTTGTGTTGGTGTAATCAAGGACAGGATTTGGGCTTGATACAGTTCTTGTGTTTGTTTCGGTTTGTTTGTTGGGTTTTTTTTTTTAATAGAATGCCCTCTTTTTCTAGATAGTAACACTGGTCCGTGTACTGTCTCTTTTTAATTTCAGGTGGTGGAAAAATAAGAAACAAAATGAAACCTTTCCAAAGCGTCTGTCTTTTCAAGAGCCTGCTTGCCAATTGCTACTGTCACAGACAACTTCACAGCTGTCTTCTCCCTCATGTTGCAAAGGAGATAGGTTATATGGTGGGACGTCACAACTGTGGATTTTGGAGGCCAAAATCTTTACTGGACACAGCTGGATTCACTCTGTCTCTTAACAGTCGGCATAGGAAAAAACATCAGGATTCTCAAGCATTGTGGAAGCATGAGACTGTGCAGAAGTACTTGGAGACTCTAAGCAAGGAATACCAGCAGGTTAGTCATCTGTTAAATGCTGACTCAGTAAGTGACTTTGAGCAAAGAACCCTGAAGAGAAGATGTGCCAATCTGTCCCCCATTGCAGCTGCATTTCAAGAAATCAAAAAGGCTGAAAGAGAAGTTCAGGAGTTAGAAGCTATGTGCAAAGGTAAGGAGAACACATCTACTTGTTTCAAAACAGTAGCTTTGCTTGCGATAAACTTCATTGCCCAGCCTTTGAGGAAAGCTTTGAAATAATTTAAGCCAGCCCTGGAACACGCTCCGGTCCTTCCTTCTGCTGGGAGCTTACGTGCTGCTAGGCCTTTCTGCATCCAGCCACATCCTTCCATTTTCCATCTCACCTCACTTCAGTTTCAGGTCTTAATACAGCCAGCTTGGGAGAGCTGGGATTGTTTGGAATCTCAAGGCTATCCGTTTTGCGGAAACAGTTTGGAAATGTTTGGTTTAAGGTTGTTTTTTGATAGAACCGAGAGCAGTGTGAACCAAAGGAAAAAAATTAGCGAGCCTAATAACATTTGATAGATGCAGACTTCGCTCGTGTTATTTAAAATGGGATTCCATCTAGCCAGTTTACATGAACTTTCATCACATGAAATTATATGAACTTTTCATTAGGCCCTGAATTGTCAGCTTCCAATTTAAATAGCAAAACCTAATATTTCTTTGAAAATATTTGAGGAGTCCTTCAAGGAATAAAAATCAATGGTTGTCTAAGAAGCTGCTGCTTTTCAGTATGCTGCTGCAGTAGAAGTTGGTGTAAAAAAGGAATTAAAAATTGTCGCTGTCTTTGATACCGTTCAGGAATAAGAAAATACACAGGGAGTAAAAGAATTTACAAAATAAGTAACGGTGCAACATTTTGAGGAAAAAATATTGTTAGAAGCGTGAGGAGGTGCACACAGTAGGAAAGAAAAAATGTCTTCCATTCTGCTACACGGATAGGTGTTAAGCCAAGAGAGGGGAACATTGGCCTGGAGAGGGGCTTGCTTACATTAAAGAAGTGAAGCAAGGGAAAAACAAAGGACAGGAGAAATGGGAAGCCAGGGGTTTAAATGGAGGAGGATGAAAGTTCACAGTGCTTTTCAGAGAGAGAACCAAGGCGTGTTGACAAAGTGGTAAAAGCCATATTGAAGTAAAGCTGGTAAAAATGCAACTTGTTTAGAAAGGTAGAAAACATTTGTATTCTTTAGTTTTAGAAATAAATAGATGTTTGTGCTTTTGGAAAAAATGGCAGTTACTGAAAATGTTTTAATTCCCAACCCTGTCAAGTTCTCTTCACTGGACAAAGAGGAAAAGGAGTGAAGATGAGGAGGGACAAAAATTTAACTCTAAAAAAGAAATGTTCTTGGAAGAATTAGGAAGTGTTAAGAAAACACTGGAAAGTTCATACTTCAACTTTAAAAGGCTATTTTTGGATCAAGTAAATATAATGAAGAATTTTTCTAGTTCCACAAATTATGATGTGGATGAATGGAGTGAGTTCTAGCTGAAAGAAGGGAAAAGAAAATTACAGCCAAGAAGTTAATTAAATGGAGCCAAATTATTCTATCTATCTGTACTGTTTATTATGGACCCAAATTAAAACAAATGTTCCCTTCATTTGTCTGCTCTTTGTTTTCCATTTAGCTCCCTAACTGACCCTCTTCTTTATAGCACCTGAGTTCCTCACAATTGCTATAAGATTTTATACTTCCAACACTTAGTGAAGCAGAAAAATATTATTTCCTGGTTTGCCACTGGTGATGTGAGTCACGGGGTAGCTTAAGTGAATTCTTAAAGGTCAGGTTTGCAGGGAGGTCGGAATGGGACACCAATCATTTGAACTTTAAGCTTGCTGGTCACCACCAGACCATTCTTTTCATCTCTGCTGACAGTATTTCACTTGGTACTGTTTGTCTCACTGATCAATAATGATGCTTTTTGGACCAGCTAGCAGCCTTTGATTCAGTACCAGTTTTGGGTTGGAGTTGTGACATACTGGCAGGGAAATTTATACAGTTCTTGCCTTCTGTACAGGGGATGCCAGGTTCAAGTGTTGATCTGACATCTTTTCCCGTATTCCAGCTTATGTCTTCTTTTATCATGATACACAGAGTCTGCCTCCATCTTTTCAGTGTCTTTCTGTTAGGCAGAAGTACACGACAATAAAACCTCCCCTCCACCTGCTTTTCTTAAGGCTGAACAAACACAGTTTTCCCAGCCTCTTCTCATGTGTCCTTTGCTCCAGCCCTTGACCATCTTGGTGGTTCTGAACTAGGCTCACTTCAGTATTTCTATGCCTGCCTTGTACTGGGGAGCTCAAAACTGGACATGGTACTGCGGATTGTGGTCTCATGTTCTGAGGAGAGGGAAAGGGAATCTCCTTAAGCAAAAGCAAAGGGTTGAAGTGAGGTCTCCCACATCCTGATGACTTGCACCCGTAACTCCTACATCTCACTCATTTCTTGAACAGCAGGAGACAGAGGGTTAGAAACCTCATTATTATCATCATACCTATATTTGTAATGCTCCCCTTAATGAGTTGGCTAAAAAATGTTGAATATATGGGTGTTGACGCGGAAGTCACGGACACTGCACACGATCAATGTGATCAAGAAAATGCCAATTTATTGTTGATACATCCCGGTTAATATAGCTCTTCTATTTCCCTATCATGCACAAGCTCCTAACTAATTGGTTAACTATATCTGTACACGCGCTCTTAGCTACGACATGATTCGTTAAAGTCTCTTGTCCACGCGCACAGTCCTCTCCACCTGCCGTCCTGCTTTGCTTTCTGATCTCAGTCACGTACACCAACTTTTCTTCTTCTTCTCAAGGTTGTTCTCATCATTATTTGACTGCAGGCAGCTCCCACAATGTCCTTGAGGCTTACTGCTCACAAACACAACAGGTGCATTCGGTCTGGATTGTTCACTAAGTGGCCTTGATTCTTCAGATGTCCCACATATGGGTGTTTCTGGACAAGTCTAGAACCAAAAATTTCATTGCGTGAAAAATTGTAATAAGGGAAACTGAGGCACTTCTTGTCTCCAGGCTTGTTTTTGATGTATTTTGTCAAATCCATTTGTGGATTTACCCCTGGACTGTCAATCTGTGTGACATAACCGTCAGCCTAACTGAGAGTGAGTAACTGTCAGGTGGGACTGGCATCTGCTTGATGCAGACTTTGAGCCATAAGCTGGAGACTGAGAGGTAAGATACCTGCTACTCCTTCCAGCACCCCTGAAAAATATGATCATTTAGTTAACAATATGCGTTCTGGCTTGGGCTGCTCTTATTTGGTATTTCATGCTGGCAAAATGCAACTGTGAGCTTGTATGTGCTGCAGTGCATGTCTTTGGACAGCTATATTACAATTTGCTCTAAGCTAGGTGAGATTGATTAACGTCTACTCCTGTTGTTGGCATTCAGAGCTAGACAGCAGAGATGAGAAACAACTTCTAGAGCTTGCCGTAGAAGAGAAGGAAACCCTGGATAAAAAAATCAACATGTTGTGCAGAAAGGTGAGCCTGAGGTAAAAGCATACAGCTTTCTAAATAAAGATGTCAGAAGAATGTTCCTTTGTGATCTTACCAATAGACACTGACACTGGCATTTAATGAAACAGAAGTCCAGCTTCTGTATTCTTCCGGAGAAGTGGCAACATTAATTATTAGTAAGCTTCTTACGGACAATTGTGTCTTAGAAGCTTATTATTTTAGTCATCTTTGCTTGCTTGCTTGTCTGTCTGCAGATGCTGAAGGGGATTAAAAAATGGTGAATTTGTCCTATTGAGACCTGACATGACATCCTAGTAACTGTTTGTGGCAGCGGAGCATGCATTCTTGAAAGATTTCTGTTTGGAACTTGTAGCCTTTCATTTTCTCTTCAGCTGACAGCACCCCGTGAGTGGGGAAATCAATTATAAGCAGAGGAGCTGAGATGATTCAGTGGAGAGCTTTATGTTTGGGCTCATTTCTATGTTCAGATTGAAATAATATGAAATGGGACTTTCTGAAAAATAAGATTAATGTAAAGATTGGCTGGGTTATAGCTAATAACTTTGTGTTCATAGGTAGTTGGGGCTGGAGTGGGTGACCTGGCACCCGACTTCGCAGGATCAAATTTTCAGCTAGCTTTCCTGTGTATGCACCAGCATATCCCATTTCCACACTGACTGCACTGAGCTGCAATGGCCATTGGACAGTTTTTAGTCCTACTTACTAGTTTGGCAAAAGAAATCAGTGGTTGCATGTGCTCAAGCTGTGGCAATTGTGAAGGCTGGCTGTAAATTCGATTAAGAGGAGATACACAGTCATGAAGGAGATAATGACATTCTTTTTTTTTTTTTTTTTTTTTTTCCCTTTTCAGCTTTTCCAGCTTCTAGTGCCAAAGGAAAAACATGATAGAAGTCATGCCATATTAGAAGTGACAGCTGGCAGAACAACTGGAGGTCAGCAAAGTCCCCACAGTAAAGATTACTTCAAACCTCCATCCAACTTTATTAAACCTCTTACGGGTTGTTTTTAATGCCTTTTTATATTTTAATGGTATAAAGTAGTACTTTCTAAAGAAGAGTATTAAGCTGTCTAATGACTGTGGTTAGAGTTGCAGCTAAATCTAAAAACTGGTGGCTGCCATTTTGTGAACTGCTATTTATGTTGTAGCGCCTTTATATTTTTAGGAGACATCTGCCAACAGTTCACTAAAGAAATGTTTGAGATGTACCAGAACTATGCAGACTATAAACGCTGGACCTTTGACATTGTGAACTATACGCCGGCTGAGATAGGTATAGTAGTTCCTCAGACATTCCACCAAGACAGTGAAATTAAAAGCAGTGTTTCTGTGCTATATTTGTCGCACATTATTTGTCTTTCTAGGTGGGTTGCATCATGCCGCTGCTCATATTTCAGGAGATGATGTCTACAGGCATCTGAAATATGAAGGAGGGACTCATCGAGTCCAGCGAATCCCTGAGACAGGCCTATCGTCAAGAATGCAGCGTATTCACACGGGGACAATGTCAGTTATTGTCCTCCCTCAGCCAGAGGAGGTAAACTAACTGTTAATCAGGGTGGTAAGGCGGTGTATCCCTGCTCACCCATTTTGGCATTGGAGTAGGTGTTATTTAAAACCACGTTACTGTTACCATTCTGGGATTTTATTGATACCTAAGTGCTTTGTGCAAGTCCCGGCAAGTGAACCACAAGCTCGCTGACTCTGGAAGGTGATAGTCCTTGGCTCTGTGCATTTCGGGTTTAAATGGGTCGTCAGAAGCAACTGTGCGGAGAGTTGCTATTGCCTGAAATGGCATGTAAATCAATGATCGTTTCAATGAGTATTCCAGCCCCAACACAAAGCTGACTGCTATGAGTACGCCCATTTTAAATTATGTCATGTATTAAGACAGGGAATATATGCAAGAAAATACTCAGGTTGCATAGTAATGTGATTATGCAGGTCCTTTTCATTTTTTTTTTGTTTCATTTAAATTATTGGTGTCCTTCCCTGTTAAATCAAGGGCAGTCTGCTTTGAATTTGAATGAGCAAGTGTGTTGGCTAGTCTTCCTGAGATCTCACTGATGCCGACAGTTCTCCCTTAAACCAGCAATTTACACACAAAACCCCCCAAACCAGATCCTGTAGGCTTCCTCTGCAAGTTCTCCTGCTTCCTTGTAATGCTTTCCTTGCAACATTGATCAGATCTGAATGTTCCTTTCCCATCCACTGAGCTTGAACTATGGTCCAGGTCATCATGAGCTCGTTATTTCCAGTGCTGCAATCCTTACTTGGATCTGGGTACACCCAGTTTTTCCTCAGTTAGCTGTTTTTAAGCACTGTTGTAAGAATCATTCAGGCTTCGCTCATGAACAAGATCCTTGCACTGCTGTTTAGAAGTAGTTTTTGATTATTTGCTTATTTCTTAGTCTCCCTGCCAAAGCTAGTGATTTTACAAAAAGTTGTTGATTTTGTTTTGTTTCACACACACCACCTTGCTTTGTGAAGGACCTGGGGCAAGAGTTTGAAAAAAATAAGTGAAATATTTAAAGCATCACTTGCTTTGCAGAGGTATTTGACGTTGCATTTTTTTAAAGTATAATAATTATAGCTATTACTCAGGAACAGCTATAAAGGAGCAATTTTTTGAGAAGTGGTTTTTTTTTTTTACACGGAGTATCACTGACATTCAAAATATTTTTCGAATTAGCAGAAAGTAGTAATTTTCTTTGATCCTAGATTGATGTTAAAGTGGATCCCAAAGATTTGCGTATAGATACATTCAGGGCCAAAGGAGCAGGAGGGCAACACGTTAACAAAACTGATAGCGCTGTGAGAATTGTACACCTTCCCACAGGTAAGTAAGTCTGCTTGTATTTCATACTTCTAATCACCCTAAATCTGTGTCCTGAAGAGAAAGCTTGCGGTCCTGCAAGTTGTCTCTTAGAGTGAATTTGTAGGGTTGGGCCTTATACCAAAAAAAGGAGCCCACCCGTTCTTGTTCTGCCCCTAGCAAGGCAACGTGTGAGAAAGGGGATAGGTACCAGTGGCACAATGGCCAGCATGTTGCTATTATGCCAGTTTTGTCTTCAGAGGGAGTGTTTAATGGATACACTGACTTTGAAGGATGAAAGAGCAACTGGAGGGTGACAGGATGGGATGGAAGATGTAAATAATTCTTGCTGTGTGCTCTCTACCTTTGGCAATAGTGGCCATTGGCAACCGAAGGTGCGCTTTGCCTAGCTGGAACCTGCGTAGTTCCAAGACTGAGAAAAAAGGAGTCTTGAAGATTTTAATTCAGGACTAGATATTGCTATCATATGTTTAACAGGAAAGAAAATATATATTGATGGGAAGGTAGTGTATATACTGGACCACTCTGTCTTCGTCAGGATTTGTTTTTCTTGAAATTCAGTGGGCTTCTATCTGTCCAGACGTAGAATCTCTTTAAGCACAGGAAATTCTAGTAGTGACCTGAAAACAGCCGTTTCCTGTATGCCTTTTTATTTCAGAAATCAAATGAGAAGTAAAAATAAATACTAAATTTCTTTTAAAGACCCTTATTTTACTTCACTTAATTATTCATAATTAAGTTCAAGACTCTCCAGTATTTAGACACCCTTCTCTGCTAGAATAATGAATTTTCCAGTCTCAATGAGATTATCTAGACTAAGACTTTAAAAACTTGTGTTACACTGTTTTAAACATGCTTCTGCAGACTGCGCACATTACATTTTTAACATGTGGTAGCTAATTGGAGTGAATCCATTTTCTGGAGGCAATGTCAGAAACTTGTTTGCTTCGTGAAATTTTAAAATATCCCTGACTTTTCTGTACCACCGAACAAAGCCACTGGCGCAGATGTGAAGATTTTAAAAACATACTAATGGTTCTGGCCAGTGTGTTTAAATGACTTTTTATCCTACAGCTGAAAGGCCCCACGAACTAGCACTCTAGAAGGTTTCATTTGCCTAATGTGTTCGAATTAATTTAGCTTCTTTGTTCTTTGTTATAATGGGCTTTTGATCTGAGCTCTCTTGAATCCCTCTGTGAAGGACTAGCAGTTGAGTGCCAGCAGGAGCGATCACAGCAGCTGAACAAGGAAATAGCTCTGCGGACACTGAGAGCTAAGCTGTACCAGCAGATCACTGAAAAACAACTAAGTCAAGAGCAGAGTGCCAGAAGACTACAGGTGAGAGCATGGGATTGCTGAAATTTGGAGAGGGTGCTGTGTTGCAGGTTTGTTTCTGATCTTTTTGAGTGACAGTGACGGAGCAAGTGAGTGGTGTGTGTCTAATCAGGTGTGCTTACAAAGGAGAATCTTATATTTTGAAATGGTAGATCTTGGTTTTTACTTATCCCAGTTCAATGCTAGAGTAGACTTCTCAGGCAGTGAAAAAGAGACATCAACTGTAGCTGGAAAGAAAAGAGTCAAAAGACTACCTGGAATTATCCAAAAGGCAGCACTCAACATCACGTATTGAATCCCCCTAGTAGGGCCAGAGTGACTCAAACAGAGCATCAGTAAAAAGTGTTTTCTATGAAAACTAGGATCAGAAGTTCTCGAAGTTGTATTTTAGCCTGTTTCTAAACCAGAGTATTTGTAAGATAACAACCCCATGCAATGCTACAGGCCTGGGGAAGAGTGGCTGGAAAGCTGCATGGTGGAAAAAGACCTGGGGATACTGGTTGACAGCCGGCTGAATATGAGCCAGCAGTGTGTCCAGGTGGCCAAGAAGGCCAATGGCATCTTGGCTAGTATCAGAAATAGTGTGGCCAGCAGTGGAGTAGGGAAGTGATCACCCCCCTATACTCCACACTGGTGAGGCTGCACCTTGAATACTGTGTTCAGTTTTGGGCCCCTCACTACAAGAAAGATGTTGCATTGCTGGAACATGTCCAGAGAAGGGCAACAAAGCTGGTGAGGGGTCTGGAGCACAAGTCTGATGAGGAGCGGCTGAGGGAACTGGGGGTGTTCAGCCTGGAGAAGAGGACAGGTTTAGGTTGGACACTGGGAAAAATTTCTTCACTGAAAGTGTTGCCAAGCATTGGAAGGGGCTGCCCAGGGAAGTGGTCAAGTCCCCATCCCTGGAGGTATTTAAAAGATGGGTAGACGAGGTGCTTAGGTCCATGGTTTAGTGGTGGAATGGCAGTGTTAGGTTAGCGATTGGACTTGATGTTCTTAAAGGTCTTTTCCAACGTAAACGATTCTATGATTCTATGCTATGATTCTAAGATCATACAGAGCTTCTGAAAGAAAGAAGTATAAAAACAATCCTGCCACTCTGCAGTTAGGTAACAGTTTATCTGATACGGTTTAGGTAACCTTTTAAAGAAGAAACAGCTTCCATCCTCAAGTTATGCTGTGAAGTGTGCTTTTTCTCTTGAAACATGTAATCATTCTTTTCTCATTCTTTGAGTTTTTCCCATTTGTGGTGCAAACTTCAACAGTGATCAACAGGAATAATAATACTTCAGAATTACAGAATTATTCAGTACTCCAAAGTTTCCAGCTTAGCTATTTAATCACAAATTTCAGGTTGCATTTAAGTGTATTGTTCCTGCAGTTTATTAACCCAGTCATTGTAAGCGGCGAGCCATTTATCTTCCGTTACTAATTTCAGCTTGAGAGCCTTCAAAGCTGCATAAAGGAATTAGATGTACGTTTACATGAATACTACAGAAAACCAGGCAAAAGTAAATTACCTTTCCTAATGTTTCAGAACATATTCAACAAATTCCTTGTTTTGAAATATACATGTGGCTGCAGAGGAAATTAAAAAAAAAAGCCCGGGGAAGCTGACACCCATTTCTTGAAGCTGTTTTTAGCATTTGATTCTGCATTTCAATAAGGAGTTTAACCACACAACAATGCTACATTTGGAGTTATGTTTTAAAACTTAGAATTTTTTGCACTCTTGTGGTTTGCCACTAGAGGACTACTCTTCATATTCTCAGTTTACTTCTCTTTCAGGGCTACTTTCTGCCAGCCAAACATTAGTGGAACTGCTTTACCACATGTTGACTGGGCTGCTTCTGTTATTAATGGTGCCTACTCTCATTATTTTACAACCCCCCCCAAAAAGACACATTTTTGAACTAAGGACACTTATAGACATATACCTGGACAGGCTAGAGAGGTGGGCCTGTGTGACCCTCATGAGGTTCAACAAGGCCAAGTGCAAGGTCATGCCCCTGGGTCGGGGTAACCCTCGGTATCAATACAGGCTGGGGGAAGAAAGGATTGAGAACATCCCTGCCGAGAGGGACTTGGGGGTACTGCTGGACAAAAAGCTGGACATGAGCCAGCAATGTGCGCTGGCAGCCCAGAAGGCCAACCGTACTCTAGGCTGCATCAAAAGAAGCGTGGCCAGCAGGTCGAGGCAGGTGATTCTGCCCCTCTACTCTGCTCTGGTGAGGCCTCACCTGGAGTACT